TGCATCACTTTCATTTTGCTGTTTAATTAGTTTACTTACTGTGGGAACATCATAGTTTGCTACTTAGGTATATCAACAGCAAACTATTTTGGAGGGAGGAGAAAACAGGATTTACAGAGGGGCTCTCTAAAGCACCATATCTTCTCAGTAATATGTGATATAGTCCACCTTAAATGATGTTTCTTACTCTATGTCATTCTTATACTTAAAAGAACAGTCCAACACAACATCAAGAGTGGAGCTTGCATGATGACTGAATATTTGAACCAGGCTGTGGAAGTCAAAATGCACCAATACTGTGGTAGAAAATCTGCTTAGACATTTTCTTTCCTTTTCTTCAACAAAGGCTTCTTTAATTGCTGCTTAGAAAAAGAAAATCTCTTTCAAGCCACTTTCAGTCAGAAAGCTAAGTAGAAATAATTAGAGCTGTTGTTGCACAGCAAGGTCTCATTTTCAGAAGGCCGTGCAAGAAGAGCAGAAGACACAAAAGAAAATCCTGCTGAGGTGTCCTGCATGAATCATTCAGAGACCTTTTATCAGCCATTAAGAATTCATCAATTCAGCTAGAAATGGCACTTGTAGAATAAACTGTTCTTCAGAGGAAGATGAAGTGTTAAGAAAATGGAGTTGTTTCTTTTCTTGAAGCTGTGCATTGGATTCGGAGTAGCAAAGGCCCTTTCTGTTGGTCTCCATCGCTTGCTGCCGTGTGGGGGCCAGATACCCAGATTAGATTGCTCAAAATGATTTCCTTGCAGTTATTTGTTGTCAAAAATGTATATTTCCGAACATGAGCTTTTTTCCAGTGTCCTTCCTATGGACTTTTTACCCAAGACCTAGCCAGTAATGTGTTTGCGAGTACAACAAAACTCCAGAGTGAGGATGGTTGCTGCAGGTAAAGAGAGGGATGGGAGTGCAGATGCTTCATGGCTGTATACTTCCTTATGGCTGGGTTCCTGCACAGTGCCGTGGTGTGTCTCAACACATCATGTGAAGCTTTTGAATAAATGAGGTGGTGATGCACCGCAGATGAGCGCAGCTAGCCAAGACAGCCTCCCCTCAACCTGTGATTCAGGGTAACTGGAGTCATTTCTTGCAATTGGATGATCATACAAAATAAGATTCCTTTTCCCTTTTTTAATTCTCAACATGACCATGTGAAGAAATACCTTCTCCTCAGATATTTCAGAGTCCCTAGCACTGCTTGTCACCTTCCAGAAGAGCTTTGCAGTTTCTCTCTAGCAGCAGATGACCAGAGGCTCCTCAAGAGCCACAAAATACTTTTGAGCTTTCCCTGTTCAGGCTGAATATATGGATACTGCAAAGGAAGTGACTGCACTAAGCGAGGAGGTCTGCAAACCAAGATTAAATTTTCTATAAAAGATAAGTAGGAGGCACAGCAGCAGGCACTTGCCTGGGTGCCCTTTTATGCAGTGAGCCCAGTACGGGTCAGGCACTGGACAGGGGCATTTCTGTGAGCAGTTAGGCAGAGGGAAGAACCCAGATATTTCTTGGAACTTGATCCCTGGTTGCTCCTTATCTCGGGGGAAAATGTCTGCACTGGATCTTGAGAGCCTCTTCAACAAGAATACAAGGTGGATCAATTAGGGGACATATTGTACTATGGCTGTTTGCTGGCCTGCTCCTCAGGAGCCATATGAACACAGCCATTGTGTTTTAAATCGGAGGGATTAGAAAAATTCATTGAAGATCATTATATTTACCCTAGAACATACTGACCTGCTAAAACTTCTGGGAATCGGTTTATTTAGTTCCCTTTTTTCTGCTAATGACAGAGGAGAATCATCGATCTCTTCCTGTGTGGGATGTCGGAGGGTCTAAGCACAGCCATCTAGATTCTTCAGACCAAATAACAGCGAATGGAACACCTTCTGTACACCTCACCGAAAAAAAATAGTTTGTGGCTGTCTATTTGTTATGCAAACACTTAAACCTTTGGTACCTTCATGATACCAAATTCATGGCTTTGCATAGTATTCGATTCATTCAAATTGTGCTTCCACTAAGTAATCAAAACAATAGTTTTCAATATCAGTTCTTGAAAGTACAATTTAAAATTCGTTTTAAGTGCTAATAGTTACTTAAAATATGCTGCTTTTGGTAAAAAGCCGGCCTCTAAGCTTGCATAGTACAACGGTCAGAAAATGCTTTGTGGTAAAAGGGCAAATTTGGGTGAGACAAGGCTAATGAAAATTGTTTTTTAAACTCGCAACCTACAATCAAAGATATCATTCCAATTAATACAAGAGTTAAATGGTGTTAACTCTCATTATCAAGTAACCTGCCTTGATTATGGGGGTAAACTCTCTGTAGTGCAGAGAAAGTCCGCAGGTTTGCCTATTTGCATTAGCAGAGGCTAGATATATCACAGGATGTTAAGGTATATGTTGTAGTGCTTTAGCAGGTGCTAGTTCATTAACTTTATATAATTAACAGTTCATTAACTTTATATAATAGCTCCTTGAAGTTTGTTATTCTCTGTGGGAAACCATGCTGTTCTAATGGCATGCGTTAGTGGTAAGAAGAAAACTTGCTTCTGGGGAAAGATGACAGGTAGGAGGACTGGCAGGAAGAGTTGATGGAGAGTGTTAGAGGGGGGAAGGAGAATGAGGGGATGTAGGGGAAAGGCATATAGGATGGAGGAGTAGAGAGAGACCAACCTATCCATAGATCAACAGCTTCTGAAGATTCCCACAGTCTTCTGCATCCTCATGGCCTCTCTTTCCAACACAGCTGGAAACAGCCCAGTCTCCTCTCCACACACCCTCAAAACCCACTGACCCTTCCCCTCTATGAATGACACCAGTTGCCATCCGCTTACCCTGCCATATCTTCCCCAAACTGCTTCACTCTTCCTCATCTCCTTTCTTTCGTGAAACACCAGATTCCTCCTTCCCAATTTGCATTCCTCTCCCCATATCATGCTCTGTCACAGGTCTGAATCTTGAACACATTTGTTGAGAAGTATTGGGTCACACTACTCTTCAAAGCTTGACCCCTGCAAGTTCATTTATATCCACTATCAGGTGCAGAAAAGCCCTCTAAGCCACAGTGGTCCCCTTGCTCTAAAGGAGAGTCAAAGCTCTTTCCAAGAGGCAGTGTAGCCTATTTGATGAAATATGCACTACTATTACCAGCCTTGAGGATATATTTTGTTTTTTTCCTGAGAAGCGAGCAGAAAATTTCGTATTCCAGAGGTTTAGCCTCAGCACAAGACTCCCGTGTCCATCTTTTATCAAGCTTTTCTTTCTGTTCATATGATGCTTTTAGTAGCTGGGATAATTTTTATATTTAACCCTGTGAAGCACCATTGCTTCGGAGGAAGCCTTGGCACTGTGAGCTGAATTCTCTTTCTGTGTAATTTCCTGGTTTTTAGAGGGCTATCTCAACTGCAGCTGGTAGATATGGACTCCATCCACCTACAGTGCTTTAGGCCAGTTGAGAGTCTGGCCTAAGATACTGAGTGCCATATTTCTGCCATGACTCCCTCCCCACAGCTCTGTGGGACAAGGTGGGAAGAGGCTGTGCATGGTGGTGCTGCTGAACAAACCCTTCTGCCTGATTGCTGCTGCTGCAGAAGAAATACAAGAGAACTATTCAGTGCAGTAGAAGGAATTAGCCTCCTTTTAACAATACACAGTGCGTTGCATATTGTTTAACTGAATTTGCTCCACGAGCATTTTATTCAAACTTATTTTTTTAACTTAGGAAATGATTTCTTGAAATAGGGTAAAAGGGGACAGAATTATTCATTTTCTGCTTATAACTCATAATGTTACCAAAATCATATTCTATTATCGTATCCTATCACATCCTTAATGGCATTTCTCAGAGGCCAGACTGTGTGCTACAGGTCACTAGGTAATGTTTCCTGAGTACTTGTGGTGTTTTTTCTGTGAACAATAACAGATTGGTTGTGAACATCTACAGAAAGTGAAAGAAAGGGGCACATACCGCTGAAAAAACTTTGCAGTCGTTATGCAAACAATGTTTGCAGATGCTTTTTTTCCAAACTTTCTTGCTGCTTAAAACAAATCAAATGCCACCAGCATCAGAATACACCGTGCCCAACACTATAGACCATCAAAGTAGCAATCATTTTATGATCCTCAGTTACTGTGAATCACTTTAATAAAGCAGAAAAACATAATTCAAATTCAATCATGTGAACGTCTATAGGCTAGAAAACATAGGAATGAATAGGAATGGCAATCAAAACACTTGTGCTCAAACTTGCATGAAGAATGATCTCCTTTGCCTTTAAAACTCGAATTTGAAATGTTTTCAAACTTTCTCATTCCCTAAAACTGCTGAGACAATTACCAGTCCTGGTGCATTCATGACTGACTGCAGCAGATTTCACTGTATGTTCAGCAGTAAAAAGGAAATGAGAAACTTCCTGCCTAACAAATACAGTAGCTACAATAACCAAGTACTGATGATCTGTTTGTTAATGCAGTGCTTAATAAGAGTAAGGATAGGCTTTCTCCAGAGAGTTTATAGTCCAGTATTTCCTATCAGCAAGCGCATGGGTTTTAGCCCATTCTCAGGCAGGAGTGGCAACTCTGCAAATAAACTTAACTGCTACCAGCCAAGTTCCCAATTTGCTTTTGTAAATGAGGCAGGACTTCTTTGATTTCTAGTGAAACAAGCCATCATTAAAGAGCTTAATAACATCCACATAGTTGGAAGAAGTGAATTGCAATGGTCGGTTGCGATAGAGAAAATATTATTTCAGTAAAAAAGCATAGGGCAGTAAAATGGCAAATAATCTAGCTCTTCGCAAGCACAAAAATCAAATTAGTTGGTAGGGTTTTTCAAAAATCAGGAAGACTGCTACATGTCTAAATATATACAGGAATGCTCCATTAACAGGGACCAGACTGTTACTAGACTTTCAGGTTCAAGCTCAGATGTCAGACAGCAGAGCTTCTCAAAAACGTCAACACTTGCAACAGGCAGTGTAGCCAGGTAGTACTTACCTTGCCAGGGTCGTTCTTAATCCCCTCCACCGACCTTTCCCTTTGTATTTCTGTACTCTTCTGTAACGTTAACACAGCCTGAGAAAAGTATGTCTGCCCATTCGTTAGTTAGGGAAGATTTTGTCATAAAAGTGCATTTTTAATCTCTTTCCTCTTCCTTATAAAAGAGAGAAACTATAAATGTTTTTCTTCCGGCTTTAGTCACTTCCTCTCAGCTTGGCAAACTTCTCAGAAATTCAGACCGACTGTTCCTTGAACAAGAAGGCCCAGAGGAGAATTCAGTGGCCATTTGTGACTGCATTTTAGGTACCAGATTCAGTTCAGACTAATGATTTCGATTTATTATGACTATTTACTTGGCAGTCACAGTTGCTGAAAATATTTCTATCCTTCTTGCTTCAGTGCCGAAAAGAGCTTATACCTCTGGAAAGTTAGATCACGGGCTTCAGATTTTCCACGCTGCAGCCCAGCTCTGCTGTGTGAAGTGAGACTGCTGCAGGCTGCCTGGCTCAGCAGAGCTCTGCGTGCCCGTGGATTCAGAAGGCAGCACTGTTGTGCATGGACAATAGATTAAAATCATGAGTAGCAAAAAGTACCTTGGTGGTTCAGGACCCTCGCTCCCGTTGTCTCAAATTATCAAGAAGCCAAGGGCCTGAGTTGCTTTGAAAAAATGAAGATAAGGAGTAGCAGGGTTGCTGCAAACCAGGATTTCCTTCCCATGTGGGTAGGGAATGGGAGTGATGGAGGGACAGTATGCACCCCATCGTTGGTGTGGAGTTGGGACAAGGCCTAGCCATTCATCTCAACCCTCAAACTGAAAAAGTAGGATTAGGTGTACAAATCCTTTTCTTTGGTGAAAAAATTCCTGTCAGTCAGAAAGGAAAAAATAACAAACAGAGGAGGCAGGAGGAAGGAATGAGGTTAGTTGTACTCCTCTTCTTGCCTCTTCTGAGACATTGCTGCAGTTGTTCTGGTTATGCTAACAGCGGTGTCAGTCAGTTGTGGTGTCAGCAATTTCTAGAGGAACAACAGATACAATAAGGTGCTGGTAGTAGGCTCTGCAGATGGTTATTTGCAGAGCCTGAAGTGAACCTAGCTGTCAAGCAAAGGTCAAGCAGTAAAACTGTGCTGCGCTCCTACCAGTCTGGTCAGGCAGGCAGGGAAAAATCTAGTTAACTCAGGAGAAAGGCTCTAATATCTGTCCTATGAAGAATACTGAGTAACTGAGCTCAGTTTATTGTGGTTTCAGTACATAATGAGGCCTCTGTAAACTCCACTCACTGCATGATGGAGCATGACTGAAGGGGGAGAAAGGATGGTATGGATAGAGATAGAGTGGTGGTGTGAGACAGTCAAATTTGAGAGGAAACAGCAGTTAGTCAAGACAAGATCCAAAATGCTCTGCCAGTGAGTGGGAAGATTAAGCCAGATCTCCGAGGTCAAAAGAGCTGAGCAGAGGGAAAAGTGGGAAGCACCAGGGTGGGACAGGTCATCAGCAAGAAAACTGAAGTTAGCAAGAAAAAAGGAGAGGTTAGAAGGTTAGTTTGTTGTACTTTGGCTTTTTAGTCACAATGCACGCAACTATGGAGTGGAATACTTGCTGGAAAGCTTCCCAGTATGAAAGGTACAAAAGGTAAACTTATTAATTTCTGTGTGGTTCAAAACTACAAAGAACCCTTCCAGTCTATGCCCAAATCTATTCTGTTTTAAAATGTGGAGTTCATTAATCGCCTTGTGAAGTACTGTTTATGTTTGTTTGTTTTGTTTATCTTTATTTAAACTGCCTGTTTGCTAGTCTTAGCTTTTTCCATTCGTGGCAAAAGTCAGATATTTTTGACGTCTAGACTAATCAGCTGCTCACCTACATAAGGATGTTAAATTGTTTGTGGAACATTTGTGCTAAGACCAGTGTTCACTTCTAAGATAGGAGGAACCAGACCTGGCTCTGTACTCATTGGCCAGAAGCCAGCCATACTAATATTTCTTCTGAAATTACGTCTCCGTCATCTGCCTCATGGGCCAAGCTGGCTGCAGCTCCTAGCTCCATCAGTGCTATTGTTTGCTCATTTATTTTGGAGATGGCGATACGTGGACTTCCATGTTCAGGTTCACAAAGAGGGATTAGGCACGCTATTCCCATTGAGAACAAAATTCAGACTGCAGGGTGCTGTCTCCAGCTGCTTGCCTTGCACCTGGTCTGGACGTTATCACCTCTACAGATGCAGCAGTCTGGCTCATATGTCTGATCCTAAGTTTCCAATCACGGCCATGGGCACCCAAGTTACTTACATTAGTTTCAACCCCTGTTAGCAGGCCTGGCTGTGGGGCGTATTGGCTGAACCTTCTGGACCACAATCCTTGTTGCATTTGGCTACTGAGGCTGAAGTGGGTGCAGAGCTGAAGCTCTAGGATCAAGGAAGTCTCCAGTTATTGGAGCTCTGTCTCGTAGGATAGTAAACCAGAGCCTGTAGAGGTACCTCAGTGCCTCTGTGAGCCATGTTCAAAAAGTTTGATTCCCACAGAAAACTTTCTTAATGAAGAAAATAATTGTGGCCACATATTAGTGCTTTGGGTACACATTACCTTCAAAAGAACAGGATAGGTGGAAGAAGAAAAGGGTCCTCAGACATTTGGAAACCCTGGAAAACCCAAGACCAGACTTGAATAGTCTGGAGCTCTTATTCTAATGAAGTATGAGATGAATATACCTTTTTTAAACTACAGAGTTGTCGGTGCAAACTCTGGCATATTGGCAAAAGGTGCCTCTTGCTGGCGTAAACTGGTCATCTTCTTGCATGCATATGTAAGTCTCTCTATAATAATCCCTGCCACACCAGGAAGATTGCTGTTTTCTCCCTGTGTTACAAGAGGTAAAGCATTTGCCTAGTCCTTAGAGGTCTCATCATAGATTTGTAAACTCTTTCCGATAATTTCAAATATTTGGGATATGGCCTTTCTGGCTGTAAGGGATGTGGATACATGCTCTTGGAGAAGTCAAACAATACATATATCACTG